TATGTCTATGTCTATGTCTATGTGTATGTGTGTATGCATGTATGTATGTATGTATGTATGTATGTATGTATGCATGCATGCATGCATGCATGTATGTATGTATGTATGTATGCAGGTATGTATGAAGGTATGTATGTACGTGTGTAGCTAGGTAGGTAGGTAGGTAGGTAGGTAGGTAGGTAGGTCGGTCGGTCGGTCGGTCGGTCGGTCGGTGGGTGGGTGGGTGGGTGGGTAGGTGGGTGTATGTGTATGTGACTGTATGTTTATATGTATATGGATATGTGTATGCATATGTTTATGTTGCCATGTGGGTGCCAAAAAAGTATGTTTATGTATATGTAAATGCTTACGCACCTGTATGCGTATATGCATATGGATATGTGTATGCATATGTTTATGTATATGCAAATGCTTATGCACATGCATATGTAGAAGTGCATGCATATGCATGTGTTTATGTGTGTATCTATACGTATGCGTATGTATATGTATACGGATGTGTCTATACGTAGATATAGATATCTGTATATGAATGTATTGACAAAGCCTACAGGCGGCTAGAATATCGAGCCTTATCCTCATCACTCAGAAAAGTCACAGGTAAGAAGTCACAGCTAGGATTGGGAAGAGCCATCGCAGTGGTTATCGTAAGCCCGAAACTAAGCCGGGTTCCTCAGGGGTGTAGGGTTTAGCGTTCCTGAGGGCTTTGAAGTCCAGGCATACGCGTCGCAGAGGCTTGGATCTGCGGAAAGGGACCGTGCTGAAGAACTTGCGTGTTGAATGCGAAGAGCGTGGTCAGCTAGTTCTGAGCGTGCAGAGTGTAGCCGAAGACCCGCCGGAGGAGTCCTGAGATCGAAAAGATGGCGGCCCGAAGAGCGTTCTTGGTACTAAGTTCTGCTGAAATTCTAACTAGTCATGCGTGGACTGGAAGTGTTCTGACTTCAATTACGATCAGTCTACCAAGCCCGCAACTGTTGCGCTTCAGGAAGCCATGACATTCCAAATGCTCGTGGCATCAAGGAGAGACTGAGAGACATACAATGTGGTGAGGCGGTGGGTGACTTTCCGGTCTCCGTAAATGAAAGAGGCTCGCTCGTATCCAACATTCATCTTGTCACAGCCAGAAAGAATCATGCGAAAGGTGGAAAAGCATGAACTGAAGCCCCACTTTATACCAACATCCAGAAGTCCACCCTATTTCTATGCCCTTTCGTTCCAGGGATCCTGAAGTTGGTGTCGGAAACCCTAACACCAAAAGCTTGCAAAACATACAAAACTGAACTACTGCATGCAGAATCCGCCCGCACCCCGTACATGCACGCACACAAACACACGAAGACGTGAACCAGAGCAGGTTGTCATCCGGCGCCCTTGCTTGCCATGTCTTGCGCAAATGTGGCGCTGAATGCAGCGAGCTCAGGCGTCCCCAGCTTGGAATCGCGTAGCATTGCTCGAAATCCCAACCGCAATGGCCGCAGCGGCTCAAGTTTGCAGCCCTTCTATCGTCGCCGCTATCTAGGAACCATGCAGATGCCAGGAATATGGAGGCAAATGAACTTGCCCGCGAAGGTCGCGCTCGTCGTCGGGGCAGTGGTCATCTTCATCGGCACCTGCGTTCTCATCATCGGATCGATAGCAGGGGGTAGTGGGGGCGGGATTCTCCGCACCAGGGCCGTGGGCATCATGGTAGACGGCCTTCGAAACTTTACACTGTCCCCAAACATTGTGAACATCAGCGGGGAGGTCAGCGGCGTGGGGACGTTCTGGAACATGCAGTTCCTGACGTCAAATTCAACAAGAGAGCATTGCCAAGACCACCTGGATTCGCCGGACATCACCCATGTGGAGACTGGGAACCGTGAGAGGCTGACATCGAATACCTGCCTATATGCCTATTCTTGGCGCAGCATCGACGACCTCAGCCTTTACGGGCTTGGAGACTTCACCCCTAGCAGGGACTGGGGCACCTATGTACAGCGTTACAAGTGATTACCGCACGTGGGTCTATGACGACACATATATGAGCGAAGATGAGATAGCTGCTGGCGTGGAAGGCGGCATAATGATCAGCATAATGGGTACTGTTGGCTTTTGTCTCTGTTGCGTTGGCGAACCGTATCGAGCACGGACAGGAGCAGACGGGCACTTGGTAGTAGCATCTCCGTATGGATATAATAGTCATTGTTTACTCATACGATACTATCCAACGATTTCCTAACAGAAAGTCCCCTTAAATGCCCTCCCATATAATTATCTCCGCTGTTCTGAATACAACGTCCGCGTAGAGTCCCTGTATAGTCATACTCTTATATCCGACAAAAACCTATTCTAAAGGAAGGCCACTACAGGCCTTACAGTGATCATAGTCATAGGGTCATGTCCACCCGAAATTGAAACCCTATTCCAGCTATAAACACCCTCCTTTTGTGTCAAGGAGCACCTGAAGTGGCCGCGATAGCTGCACTGCTGGGTCACACGCTAAGCACCAAGGCCCTTTCGGGTTTAGGCTTCATTCGGCTAAGGGGTACTAAGGCTCTACAAGGATTTATGACTCTAGTCTGGTGTGTCAAGGTCTATAATGGCTCAGGGTTTCGCTGCGTTCGGCTGTCAAGTCTTACAAGACACCCCAGCAATCCTCTTTGCGTAAGCAGGGACGAGGTGGCTGACGGTTTTTGGGAACTAGTTAGCATTGGGGGGGGGGGGGGTGTCTAAGGGGTTCTAAGGATGATGACGGACAGGACAATGTATATACGGTATATACGTACATACACGCATACATACTGTATATACTAGATAGACATGATATATACATATAAATATATACATATGTCTGTAAGATTGTGTGTGTGTGAGTTTTATGTATGTATGTATGTCGGTCCGTATGTATGTATGTATGTATGTATGTATGTATGCATGTATGTATGCATGTACATATACATACATACTTTCGTACATAAATACACACATACATACATCCATACATATATAATTACAAACCACATATACACCTACTTACATCCATACATGGAGCTATGTCGGGCTGCGTGTCATCATGCAAAGGTATATTCCTGGGTTCAGTTAGCTTCAATGGAGCTTCTTTCTTGAGTATGACGCTTGAACATAGTGCAAGGGATGCGCCGTCCACCAAGCCCCATAGAATCTGCTCAGCTGCTTTTGGGCTCCTGCTGGCTTAGCCTTGTGTCTCCCGCCACTCTTCTCCGCGCAGCAGATTCGCAGCCATGGGCCCCATGAAGGCAATGAAGGCCTGGACATGCTTTGTAAGTGCAGTCGCACAGCGAGCTTGTCGCGAGGATTCCGGCATGCGTGTTCATGTCGTGTCCGTGTGTCCACGTGTGCGTGCGTGTGCGTGCGTGTGCGTGCGTGTGTGCGTGCGTGTGCGTGCGTGTGTGCGTGTGTGCGTGCGTGTCTCTTGTTCTGACATCGGAGCTGGCCAGGCGATGAAGGCCATGAAGGCGATGAAGGCGGCCCGCGCAGCTCCGAAGGGCGAGATTGCCAACCAGCTGGCGGCGAGCACGGGCTTGAAAAAGAGCGAGGTGATTTCCGTGCTGGATAGCTTGGCCGACATCGGCACAAAGGAGTTG